TTATTGGACCTAACGCAAAAGTACCTCATCGATTTTCTTCCTCATATTGCTCATTTGTTCGTCTAGATCGTTTCTATTCATTGAATCAATTTCTAAATCGCTCGACGGTTCGATCAGCTGGGACATGTGTCCAACCTGCTCGGACAAATCCACCAGCTGCGATTTGAGAGCAGACAATTCCTGAATTCGCACCGTCTATGCGAATCTTCACTGATATACGATTTAACACATTCACGCCAGTGGCAGCCCATATAGCCTGCCAAAAATGTGCTCGTGGGAACGATGGCAGCCCATATGGGCTGCCAGCTAATAGCCGCTTCCAGTCGGTTATATCGTCATTTTTGGGTATATCTGATACTAACGAATAAACGAAATGGGGGACTCATAGGTAACCCTAAACGAAGTGATTCATCGAACTTCCATATCTTTTCTTCGAGGAACATTTCTCCGAGCAGTATAAAATCTCTTGTTTGGCGGTCACGGAATCGCCTCCAAAAAGAGGAAAAAGGGAGCCGTCGTGAATGTGTTGATAAAGAAAATTTGAAGAAAATCTCAAATCCCTCACATTCAAGCGAGCCTCAACTTCTGATGGCGGTAATGCTCCGAACTTTTCAATATCTGATTCCAATACAGCAACATCATTCCTGAAATCGACAAACCAATCTTATCCTGAGAACGTTGACGACAAGACGAAGAACAATACGAGGCGCTATGGCAAGATACGGGGGCATCCTCGAGAACCAAGTCTAGGCGGGGAAGGAACTTCAGGAAAACGACGATCTCTTACGCATCCTGCAGTCTTTCCTCCTCAGCCTAAGGGTCAGTCCGGTTTTTAGGAGAAAGGGGTTGTTTCACGTGGTTTCAAACCCACTGCCACTACAATGCCCCCGTATCTTGCAATAGCGCTGAAAACGACATACATGACAGCTTTTTGCATGGATTTGATTTCTGCTCCCAAATCCGAGGCTCGCTGAACGTTGCGTTCTTTTTCAGCAAGTTCCTTTTCGAATGAGGCCCATCCAGAACTCAGCTCTCTCATCTGTAAAACGAGGTTTATCATTCGACAGCTTTTAATCACTCCATGGAATAGCTCACCAGTGGGTGAAGACTGGCATCTGATGATGCTCCAGGCAAAGATTCCAGCATGCCCTTTAACTTTTTATAGGTGTCTCGCTCTCCATCCATTTCGGCACTGATCAGCTGAAAGCAACACTTCATTGTCATGAAATCTCAGCGCATAATTATACATACAACGACGTTCGCACCTGAATTTGCCCCATTTGTGTCCTTGCGATGGCAGCATCGGTGGTTGGAGCACCTATGGCCAAGAGCATTCGACGCTTCGCGCCCAGCCACTTTTCCAGAGCGGCATGGCCTTCGATCCACTTCTCGGCTACAGAAGCACGTTCTCGTGTAGCTTAAATAGGAAGGGTCAAAGAAACAATTATCCGAAGAACATTAAGTCCCTAATGATCTGCAGGAAGTTCTGAGAACACAAACCTTCCATGAGATCTGTGAGTTGATCCCATTTCTCCGAAAGTGACCGATGGCGCTCAAGCAGCATTTCACCTTCTCCGGCCAATCGCGCATCAGCTGCCAGCTCTCGACCACGTAAGCGAATCTTGAAAATATGAAGCTAAAGAGCTTGTGTCATCAAGCCTTCAAAAAAGTGTGTACTGAAATCATGGTCAACTTGGCAAAACGGCGATCTTCCAGTATTCAGAAAAAAATGTGTCCTAATAACGGAGGTTTTTTGCACCATTTCCTTTGTTTCTACTCTACAGAACACATATCATCTTGGACTGTCCATCGTTGAAACGACAAAAAAACAGTCCAAGGTGCACCCAATATCGAATACATCATCGCACAATACATCAAATACATCATAATCAACGATAAGTTCACGGCGCAAGGTGCGGTATCGACTATGGGCCAAATCGCGACTATGATCGCGAGACCGTACAGCTGTTCTGGAGATAGAACGTGACGATACGGCTACGTGATTAGGCATTAAGGTAACTTAGTCTATTAGGAAAAGGCAACGTTATCGATTAGGTAATAGCGCGATAGACGATTAACGCGAATGAGGCGCTTAGTTCAGTTCGATCGCTCCAATGGGCCCAGCCCCTACTTTTGGGGCTTAACGGCTACTCTCCTATTTCGTTCGAGTCGAACCAAACTGTAAGAAATTTTCCTATGAAGAGCTAATGACAATAAGAGCTCTAAGAATGAAGAATTTTTCAGAACGTTAGCAGAAAATCGCCTTACGTCATCGAGTCGTCGTTGTTCTTGCCTTTTTGCCTTTGACATGCGATCCAATATGGCCAGTAGTGCATTAACTGAGTCGATTGAGGTCGGCACATGTCTACTCGAGTTTTAAAATCAATATAAATCATTTCATTAGTCTAGTGAGTTTGTTATCGTCAATTTTCATATTGCCGCCTGGGCGTAGTTTCCGCCCGGCGAACCTTTTGAACTATCAATTCTGCTTCAAGAGGTAAGTTTTCGGGTGAAAATCCAGTGTGAGGCCACTTCCATGGTATCTTTGGGATAGTTTGGAGAGCACTCTCTCAAACTACTCGTTAGAAAACTACGGATAAGGATAATTGTGAACAATTCATTTGAAGAGCGCTTTTGATGAGGACCGGTACATGTTCAACACTCCACACATCCTGCCCACATCCTACCCTTACATCCTTTCCTGCCCAAAATGCATCACCCTGGAAGCTCCATTCCACCATAGGCGAGCAAAGGCTCTCCATCACGGGTTCAGGGCCATTTCCTTGGATCATTGCAGGCCAATTTGGGCAGTACCTCGGAAGTACTCCTACATTACACAGGTACTTATTAGAAGTAAAGTTTGAATGATTGATTGTATGCCACAAGTGCTCTTCCTTATTCTGAGCAGAGAATACAGATGCCCATATACCCTTCTCGAAATGGATAGTATCACCCCAAAATCTTAAAATGGCTAGGGAACCACGATGAACAACCATGTTTTCGTTTGCGACGATATCCAAGGACGACAGCTCGTCTTCTGCGGCTTGCAGTTCAATCGCCTTTTTGTCGGCAGCATTTATCCTCTCACCGCGTGATCGTAACGCTTCCGCTTGGGCATTGTACCTGAGAAAGTGTAAAAAATAACAAAGTGCTCATTTCCCAGTTGATTGTTAACCTTACTTTGCCACAAGCTCCATTAGCAATGCGGGGGGTTGCACTCAATCTGTGCCCACCACTTTCGCGCTCGGCTTCGATCAGACGTGTCGAAACCGTTTCCAAGTCTTCCAATAGAGCAAGTCCTTGAAAATAGTTTTATTTATTTATTCGTTTGTTGTGCGTCAACAGATGCGTTCCCGTAGCTATTATATATCAGTTTCAGCTAAGGATAACCTAAACGCGGGGAACTAATTAAAGACTTATCAAATTCAAAGTAAAAACTAAGAACAAACCAGATCGTAAGAAAAAGATCAAATCTCTAAAGAATTTAGTAGAAATAGAAAGGAAAATAAAAATTAAAAAATCGTGGTATTAGTTCTACTAGTTCCTTGAGCATAACTTGAACCTTGGGCTAACCTTCTTTATGCTTGTCAAGTAAAGCAAGCTGATCTCCTCGGGACTCAGTTGAAGCTTTCGTGGTCAATCGAAACAGGTTTCAGCTCCAACAGCTCGGCATCGAACTGACTGATCCAGTCGGCCATTCTGTAACATTTTAATTTGAACTTACGAGATCATCTTTCGATCGGCAATCAACAATTCTAAATGAAGTTCCCCTTATTAATAACAAAATTAACACTTGTTATACGATTTTTGAATGAAAAATGAAAAGAGCGCATGGAGGTTGCAAGCCTTTTTTGAGCATAGCAACAATGCCTTACGCATACCTCTGTTTCGCATCCTCAAAGTCGTTTTCTAAACGACCAACTTCTTCCTGTGTCGAGTACTTAGAGTTCAATTCCTTGTTCAGATTATGCAATTTCTCATCAGCATTTCGTATCTGAAACAACATGGAAATCATTTTGAAGTAGGCGCAAATACACCAGAAACACTAAGAACTCGTACCACGCGATCCACCAATTGGGTTTCCGTTACATTCGGTATTTTCTTAATGGTCTCAGCAGTTCTCATCATATCCGTCAACTGGGAGTCTAGAGCTTCGAGTTCGGAAGCGATTTCATTGAGCCCTTGATCATCTCGGGCGCTCATCGTCCGCAAAGTTGCTGAAGTTGCGTCACAGGAACGGTCCAGGGCTATTCCGAATGCCTCCAAAGCTATAACTCCTTCGAGGGCGTCATTCACATTGTCACGGAATCCCTGGAAAAACGACACATTTCGGCTGAACATAGCTCTCAACACATCCGATGAAGTTTCATACCCTAAGTTCTGTGCTATTTTTCTGCAGACGGGAAACGGCGTTTCTTAGTTTCTGTTCAGTATCCTCTACCCATCCTGGTGATCCAGCGCCAGCCAGCTTCTTGAGATCATTCTCGAGATCGTTGGTGAGCGACAGCCGGCTGTCCAGGTCCATTCTTAACATCTGCTCCTCGCGTTTCTGCAAGATATGAAGTCAAGCGGAAAGAGGATTTTGAAAGATCAAAAAGTTTTTCAAAGGTGGATTTCACGAGAAAAGGTAGCCCATTGAAAGTTAAATGGGAGACGGTCCACACTATTTGTAAAATCACTACTGCTTCTTATGGAGCTAAAAAGTAGTTTAAAAAAGGGTTGTGTTGAGACCCCTTCAGGGTTAGTTGGTTATAGCAACACAACTCTTTTCCACAGATACACTACAAAGCGCACCCAGTGTCAAAAGTAGTGGCCTACCCAACCGGGGCAACACGACGATCTATCTTTCTTCCCGCTCCATCATTCCTTGTTCCTCGCGACCCCCTGGAGGGAACAGCGCGCGCCTAATCATTATTCCTTAGCCAATTACACATCAACAAGTGCCACAAATAGAACACACACTTAAAGGCAAAGTTCGGGCTCAGACCCACCTAATGAGCCCTTAAAGTGGCTAGAAGCGCATGGGACGCAACTGCAGGCGACTCGCCAAGTTCCCGCATCGAAATGCGTCACTAAGGCGCTAGGGGCCAAGGACTTTGACACGCTCCACCTGTTGCGACACGCTCCGCCCACCGCTCGATATTTTGTCTGCGTCGCAATGCTGATCTGCTATGCTCTCTTCTCGGACTTCTCTACCGCTCTCCGCGCTCACATTATCTCTCATCTCCCTGCCGGCCTTTTGAACTTCTCCGCAACGTAGAGCAAAAGGCTCGTATTTCCTGTGTATTTCACGATTTTTTTCCTTTTTCTCCACTGGCGGTCCACCTCCCGCCCCTACATCACATTTGAGTAGAATTACCTCATCAGTTTAAGCTGAATCTTGCCTTTAATGAAATTTTTAACTGTCAAAGTCTAACTGTCTAAGATTGTGTGGAAACAACACTCAC